TTTAATAAAAAAAAAAAAAAAAAAAAAAAAAAAAAAAAAAAAAAACCACTGTCCTAAAAGAGTCAACAGAGATGCCGCCACTCTTGCTAAGCCTACACACACTGATAGCTGACCTAGCTGAAGGAATATTTGTCAAGTTCCCACAAACACAGACCTTGCCTTGAAACCTGAGCCCCTTCATCTGTACTTACTGATCAGTACTGAATCATTTCAGCCCTGCTATGAGACTATATAAACTAGTGTTTCTTTTTTTTTTTTTCTTCAAGGTACTCTTATTATTTCTAAGGCTTGTGCTTATCACCTGAGCCCTACTTTAATCCTTTGTGGTGATGTAACCCACCCAGCTTGGGAAAGACAATGAGGTATTCTGCATTGCATTGTGGGCAGGCCACACGCGCTGTGCTGTTGCCACGCTGCTTCTCATCCACCCAGCGCTGCAGGCAGGTCTGGTGAACCCACTTAGTGGAGCCGCGGCAGCGACATGGTCGCACCCACTCTGCTGTGCGGTCGTCCTCGTCTGTGGCGAAGCACACCCAGCAGCTCCTAAAATCAAATACACACATGCAAGATAAAGACAAACACACATCCACCCTGACAACTTGGGGGGGGGTCAACCAGTTATTAATTCCAGGGGTTCACTTTTTCAATAAAGACATGAAAGATCTGAATTTTTTGTGTGTGGTTATATTAGGCGCATTATATTCGTCAGTACTCTTGACTTAGATGAAGATCAGATCACATTTTATGACAAATTAATGCAGAAAACCATGAAATTCCAAAAAGGTTCACATACTATTTCTTACCACTGTATTATCATCTTTCCACCCACAAGTATCCCAGCATATCCTCCTGCCTCTCTGACCCTCACAGTGAAAGTCCTACTAGTTCTTCCACTTAAGCATATTTGGCAGGAAACTTCTGCCTTCTCCTTTACAAGAAAGGAGAAATCTGTACGTTTGGCCTGTCCGCTGTTTCCTATTTCCCAGTTAACTGGACCGAACACTACACCCGTTAGCCCTTGTCAGCTCCATGTCTGTTCAACATATGGGAGGTAACCTCATATTCCCTGACTTTACCACAGTATCGCTCTGATTGTGACATATTGCTTTTCCACAATTAATCAGCAACCAGCTCGAGGTTCACTACCTGTGTCTCACTGCATGAGGCCAAGTTCAAGAATTTAGACCAGTAACATGCTTCTGTGTAAATGAAAGTAGTCCTAGGTTAGACCTGAATATTTCATTTAAATAGCAACACTCGTTTAAACTACATTCAGATAAACTTGTTGCTAGGAGATCCCCCAATTCTGGAACCGACTGCTGCCTGAATGTCTCCGACATTTGTGTTCTCATCGTCATAATTGCATTCAACCTTGAGCAGCTGACATTTCTCTGGATGAATGAAACTGAACAGGCCACACACATAAATCCCTGACATAAATTCAATGAGGGGAGACCGATTGTAATAGAGACTTTTTTGGTCTCAGGCTGCAATTATGTACATTTTGGGTACCATTCATTAAATATGGAGCCTGGCAGATTAATATTCAGAGTCCAGGTTAGACTAAGCATACATTACCACCTCCAGCATGAATACACACTGTTAATATGTAGAGCTTTAGAATGAAACATCCTCTACAGTTTAAACTTAAGTCGCACTCTATCCACTTCCAATCATGCAAAAGAATGGTTTACATCTTTTGAGGGTTACCAAACAAGTAGCACCCTCTTTGCTGTCAGGTTTTTTTTTTTGTTTTTTTTTTTAAACCTACCAGCTGCCTGTGTCTAATCTGATAACACCAATCTACAGTTTGTCATTTCATTTCATGCCTTTAGCAGGTAACAGATATAGCTGAATTGGCGGAAACTTGCAACCTTTTAACTCTCACCAGGAAGTATGAAATGTTCCTTACCCCATAAGTAATATGACAAGTATCTAATGTGGTATGAACTACAGCACTAACTGCACAAAAGCCACATAGCTCTTAAATGCAGGTATGGAAAATTTCTGTTTTTTTGGCAATTATACAAGGAAAAAAAAATGTACTCATCAGTTTCCAATATTATCTGCTGCCTGTGATCAACTATTCTTCCACTTGTCCCAGTGTATTGGTCCAATCAAATCACCCGTTTCACTAACATTGTGATTTGTTCCAAAAAAACTAAGGACTGCTGAATATGTCTTCACGCTTGTGATACCACTGATAGGTTTCCTGTTCTATGCCTTACTGGCAGGTAATTTCAGTCATGGCAGCAATCCTCAACTAACTGTGATACAAAATCTGTCAGTGAAGGCAAACATAGCCCCAAACTGCCTTTGAAACAAACACCAACATTCTCTTTAGAGAGGCTGGGGGGGGTTTCTCAACAGTGCTCGATTCAATGAAGCCCCACAGGACGCCATGTATATTTCAACCCTTCTGCTCCCACAGCTGAATAATGAATGTCAAATCTGAGGCTTTCCGTCATGGTCGTACTGAGATGCAGGGGTGCTCTGTTACTGGGGCCTCCAGTCAGTCTGGGGGGGGTGGGGGTGGGTCCTTTGTTAGAGACCGACTGGCCATCTTGGATTATTTGCTCAGGTTGCTACTTACCTGCAATGGATGATTTTCCAATACTCCTCTTGTACTGAATAAAACATGACAATGCAGGAGAGGAGCCTTTGGTTCAAGGTGCTCAGGTGACATAGCCAGTTAAAGGCCCATTGTGGGCACATGTGATCAATGTAAGTCAACAAAATACCAACCGTGCTCCTGTCCTTATAGAACTCACAATGCAACTTCCACTTCCTCTGCTTTTTGACAGGTTTGTGAGCCTGCACCATACTCAAAGCTGTTTGACACTACATCTCATCCAATTATGACTTTTGCACTGCAAAGATAGAAAAAACTTCAAGCTTCTTCCACTGTACTACACTGGGGGGCTCAATATCCCAAAATCCAGCACCAAGACTGAAACTGAGGTGGCTAAAAAAATGTTAAGATGAGAAGTTGAGCACAACAGTGGCCAGGTGTCTCCACAGAGGCACTACAGTTGAGAACAAAACCCAGCACACCCCTAGATCCACTGACTCATCTTCCTGTGACCCAGCCCCACAGCATGACAGGATCCAATACAACAGTGGTGGAATGCTATCCTCTGTGTGAAACCCTGATCTCCAGCTCGCTGTCGCCTCAACCCTGTTTAACAGAACACTGGTGCAGATAAGCAGACACTGCACAGTGAGAATTCCTGTGCAAACTGACAAGACAAATGAAATTGTTAATGGATTTAAAAACAACAACTTGGATCTAGATCATACTTTGGTGTGTGATAGATGTTATCTTGTCCCAGCATTCTAGGCATTATGTATGGAGTCAGAAGCAAAGTAAGAGTTTCATTGTACAGGGAAACACGTTTCCTCACTGTGCACATGACAATAAACATTTTGAATCTTGAGAAGCAGACAAGATGAAATTGTCCCCATCTCACAATGTTGAAGAATTCTTTATATATAAAAAAGGAATCTGTGATCCAGAACAACCAAAATCTAGTTTAGTGGGCCATACCCCACCTCTCCAAAAGGTTTCAGCAAAATCCATTCATTACTTTTTGAGTTGTGATGTGAACAAACACAAGCAAAAACATAAACCTCCCTGGCAGCAGTAATTATTTCACTTCATGTCTCTGTACTTTCTCTACATTTTAACAAGACCATGATAATTTTGGTCACTATAATCATGATATTAAATTTTCATACTGTTTCATTTCTAATGGACACCATGTTGACTGATGCTACCACACCTGGCGCCATTTTCTTGTTATGGCCTAACAAGCTCTGTCAAGTTCCTAGGGCCATAATTAGTCAATTTAATTGATTACTTTGACTTATAAAATATGTCATCACTTTTAATTTGCAGTTTTATTTTTATAAACTGACTTCTTAAAATGTGTTTTTCTTCAATATCACTAGCTGGCTGCCAACTGCCTGTAAATCCAGAGGAAAAAAGAACATCACTACATAGTTGCATTATTAAAACCATGATGTCATCTGCCTGCTACTTTACAATTTCCACTAAAATAAGTGCATGAGAAAATGTTTACACTTATTCTATGTTGACTGACAGTCCAGTGTGTGCTGTGTTTTTGCCTTCTTTTATACAGTCTATGGTTCATGTGTGCTGGAGGAAAATTAATCGACTAATCAGTAAATAGTTGATAGATTAATTGACAGAAAAAGGCAGTGGCAGCACTAAAAGGTCCCAATAAAATGTCCTTCAGGAGCATGAGCTCTGATGATGGCGGTTTGCCTGAATTTCACTGAAGCAAGGTGACCTGCTGTCTCAACCACCTATTTACATATTAAACAGGCAAACTCAAATGGGCCTTTGCCCTTTCCTCAATGAGCTCTAACCCACCTAATGCTAGCCCACCACTTTCAAGGACAGGGGAACACCAGTGTATATCATCCTTTTTTTTCAAAAGAGTATGTGGCAGTGAAGGGATGCAGATGCTTCCTGTAAAGCATCATATGTTCCACCTTTGCTGGGGATGTGATTTTGCCTTAGAAAGTGCAAAACTGTACCAACAAAATGATAATGGGGAGAGGTTTCATGGTGGGTTGTGAAGGAATAGGGCTGTGACTGACACTGTTTACAATACGAGTGTGATAGCATGTTCACCGTGTCACAAGTCAGGTTCACATTCTTTAAGCAGCACATAAGCCGCATTACAAAGGCTCCTTTCACTCGGCAGCAGTTACACGACTGTGGGAAAGCTGCAAGTCCCTCGGCACAAAGGCAGAGCCCAGGAGCACCGAATTCTGGTCCACAAAGATCTTGAAGGAAGGTTAAACCCCATAGGGGCTTCACCATGTCTGACTTCTACTTGGTCACAAACTAGCCCTGTCCCAAGTCAATTAAAACAACAACTCTGGGTGTCTGCCACCTTGAAAGGTTCCATTATCCAAATACTCAATATAAGATTGGTGCCTTTCATGTGTCGGCGTCTGGTTACATGGGTCTTGGGCTGATAAACTGCTTGAGTATCAGCTGCCACACCGACTCTTGAATGTCAGCAGACAAAATAACAGGGTGTCCTTACTGTCCAAATGAATACAACAAACTCCAGCTAAAATTATCAGCTTTGAGTCAACACCTTATTAAAAGGGGTCAACAAATGTTTGTCAGTATCTTAAATTCTAAAATTGTAATATTTCAAAAATAATACTTTTAAATTTAAGAAACTGCACAGTAAACATTATTCAGGGAACTGTGTCTTAATTCTGAAATACAGACACTGTACAATCAACCACAATATAATGGCTTCCATCACTTTTTTTTTTTTTTAGCCCTTATACATACACACATGCACAGCACATATTTATATACCCATTCATACAGAAAGCAAAAGGGTCAGTGATCTGGACAACAAAGCAGATGGGGGGGGGGGGAGAAACCATTGTGTGAGAGCCAATAAAAAGGTCAGGCTGGATTGAAATCCATCTCCCACATGTATTTGTGAAACACTGCATTGCAGGGGCAGCTGGCTGCTTGTGGCAGGCCTAGATAAGAGTCTGTGCAGGCTTATGTTTGTTAGTGATAGAGGCTGGGTACAAAAACCTACAGAAGCCAGGGGACATGACATGCATCTTTGTGCTATCAGCTCCTCAAACACTGTCAAGAGTTATTGCCTCTGCCACACACCACAGTTAAAGCACATTTCACACAACTCAGGTGCCCTTCCTTTCTTTCTGCTTTTGTACCATGTGCTTGGGAAATAGTTCCAAAGTTCAATACTGACAAAGTGCTGCATGCCTACAAATGATTTAATACGCACTGCACAGCTGTCATATGCTGGTGAGTATTCCAAGAGAAGTGACACAACAATGACCCCAAGGCTGCAGCACCTGCTCACACATAGATGAAAACTTCTGATCACATGTAGCATGACAACACTTGAACCCAAACATAGCTGTTTTATCATTATGTGAAACGGGTCGACAGTCTGGTCAGTTGTGTGCAACGCTGGCAATTTATCTATGTCAAAGTAAAAAACAAGACACTCTGCTCACTTGGCTCAAGATTTTGAGCCTATCATATTAACCTTATCTTCAAGTACTTTCCAGTGTTTTCCCAGGCATAATATGACAACAGTGAGATCAGCATAGCCACTAAACCCTTTATGCATCCTCTGCCCTATCTATCAGTTTTGAAGAATTGTACTGAAAAACCCACAATTGTTTTTGCATGACAACCCTTCTATAATGGCAGTTTATTCAGTTCCTTGACAGTCTACACAAACACAGCATTAACATCAGTTTGAACACCACACCTCCTCATTTTAGTTTGCTCTAGGAGAATCACTGTTTGACCACTGCATACATCTGAAGTATTTTACATACGCCTTTGAATAAGTTCAAAAACTGACATACACAAGAAAACTTCCACAAACATGACCAATGATCTTCCGCTATATTTTGTCAGGTGGGAACTCTCCAACTTTGGATTTTTTTTATTTTTTTTATGGAGCAATTCAAATTGGCTATCATAAATTACACAAAAAAGGGTGGTGGTGGTGGGGGCTTTCAGATTAGAATTTGAGATTGCAATGTCTAAATTTTGTCTATTCTTACAGCCAAATGAGAAGCTAGGGTTAAGAGCTGGTGTTGCTCCGAAAGACACACAGAGTTGCTGTGTGCGCCTCAATATCACAGGGGAAATGTACTGAGGATGGGATTGTATGCATTTATTTAGAGCTCAAAATAATTCCCCACCTGCCACAATGATTCTCCCCTACACGCGACCGCAAAATGGTCCTATCTGTGGTGTCACCTGTGACACTTTCCACTGTAATACTTTCCATTGGCTTGAAAAGGAATTCACTACATGCACTGTGCAACTAGGACAGTTTGATAGTGTGATGCAAATTAAACATTGTTTGACTGAGTATCAAACCCATGCAAACAGGACTGGTCATTAAATATACATCTGGCCAGAGTTTCTATTCTTTGGTTCCAGCTACTGTTCATTTGTTCTTTCTTCTTGATGCTCTTTACTTGTACAGTTTCCCCAAATTCATTCCTGCGATACCTCTCTATCAATCATGTGGAAGTTTCCAACACTAATTTTGCCCCTCAACACAAACATTACACAATTAGCACTTTTTCTTAGTTTTCCTCATTTAGTATAGGTCCATGTTCCTAGCTAGATATGACACCTGTCTGTGCTTCCTCTCTCAGCAAGCCCACTCAATCTTTGTTCTTAGTGTATGATCAATATGATTTAATCACCTTAACAAATCTGTCAAGCAACACAAACACTATTCATGTGCACAATTCTTAAAGCAATCAAAGAGCTACTTAAGTTTTGGTTATACTATGAACAAGTGTTTTTAAAAAGTACATATCCAGGAAAATTACAATAAAACTGTTGTGGAAGATATTCATTTTGTGTAACTGAAGTGTGAACTGTTCACTGTTTCAGACTTAACTATGAACGTGACAATTTCAGAAAGCTTACCGAATACAGCTTTCTCATATAAGGGTCAAGAGTTAACACGGCAAAGTTTCTGGGGAAATGGAAATGATACTACTCTCCTCACTTGTTAGCACATTTCCATCTCTGTCTTTAATCGCCCTTATCTGTTGCACATCCTTCCCATCTCTATCTCTCTGTCTTGCTAATCTGTACAAGTCCTTCTCACCTTCCCTCATGTCTAACCTGGCATACAACTCATCATATGCTTTCTGTTTGGCCATTGCCGCCTCCCTCTTCACTCTATGCTGCAATTTCTTGTAATCCTGTCTACTGTCTTCAGTCCTTTCTACGTCCCACTTCTTATAGCTAGCCTCTTCCTCTGAATGCTGTCCTGTACTTCCTTGTTCCACCACCATGTTTCCTTATCTTCTTTCCTCCTTCCAGATGACACACCTAGCACCTTCCTACCTGTCTCCCTGATCACTTCTGCTGTAGTTTCCCAGTCATCTGGAAGTTCTTCCTGACCACCCAAAGCCTGCCTCAACTTCTGTCTTAATTCCTCACGACATTCTTTCTTTTGCAACTTCCACCACTTGGTATACTAATTAAGTAAACAATAACAAGCTAAAGTGTTTGTCTTTTTAATATTGGCTATTAATGCCAATCAGATATTAAAGACGGCATGTGTGTGTGTCTCCCCCCCTCCGTAGTGATTTTACGTAAAGCTACGCAGTTTCCAAATTAGCATGTTAGCCAAAACTTGAACTCACCTGTCCAAATTCTGCTGCATGACCACGGCACTCTGTTCCGCCATTATCGTGAAGCGAAGCTATTTTTTTAATGCTGAAATGCAGTCTTGCTGGTAGAAGAGTTTACCTGCGTTAAAATAACAAGTATCTTTAAGACAGCATGTCCGTTAATTTGCTGCTGCTGAGATATGCGTTAAATCACTCGCTAGCCAGCTGAGGCACTAACGATAGCTAGGTACGCGGCCCGCGTGTTGATACGGCGCATCAGCTGCAAACGAGCCAGTTGTCTAGCATAACATTATTCCCTCGCAGTCATGGCAGTTTAAACAATATTTGTTTACGGCCAATGCACCGCTTCAATTAATAATCCTCCTTACACCAGCTGCGGCCTCGTTTGTCACTATTATCGCCGCATTATGTGACCACTTGACTCCATTGACTAGCCGTCTCTGAGGTGACGCTAGGTAGCACGGCTATGCGTGCTGCGTCATCAAAATAAGGATATCGCCGCAAAATGCACCTCTTCCCTGACATGGGAAATGTAGTTTAATAATACTTTTTATCCCTCCTACGGCCAAAAATGTCAAAAATAATCAGCAGAATCCACTCCCCATCATGAAGATTCGCCTATGGCTACAGAACACTTCTATTAGTGGTAAGACGTTTTAATTACGTTATACTGTTTTTGGCAAAGTAGGCTATGTGCTACACCTTATGATTATCTTTACCTATTTGAGAGTTAAAGTTATTTTTATTATATCACATAAAGCTTTTCTGCGAAATAGATGTAATGTTAAGTTATTTAGGCCTATGTGCACTTTATATTTATTGCTGTCATAATTAAACATGCACATAAGTGTAAGGCGAGATAGAGAAACACAAAACAAGAAATGTGTTAGTCAGTCATTAGTGGGGTTTTTTTGCTGTTTACAGGAGTTGCTTCTATAGCCTAGGTTAGCTTTGTAGCTGATATTTAGTTTATACCCAAGCAGTCATGAAGGAACATGTGCAATCTAATTGTTGAGGAGCTACTGCATAACGAGAAACTACAACTCCCTACACCTCCCTCGGTATCATCCATGCGCCGCAGTCAATCAGCTGTTGGGGCAACTGCTGACTATCTCGCAACAAGGGCAGCTCGTTTGTCACATCTAAAGCCAGACTAGGCTAAGAGAAATATCTTTATTTACAGAATCCCAAAAGGTGAACGATACAGGTAATTCAAACTCAGGCAGAGATGACCGAGTTGTATGCGCATGCTGTTTTGTCGTTTGTGCTGAGGGGGACACATGTATTAAACAGGGAATTCAAGGCAATTCAACTTCATCAATCGTATCAGATGCCTCGATCAGCGCGATAAATAGGATAAGGTGTTGGCAGTGCCTGTGGTGAAGGGCCGGTGAGGTGAACCACTCTACACGGTTGATTGTGCTGTTTTGGTGACCTTGGAAGCGCAGCTCTTGAAGGAGAAAACACGGATTAACTGGTGGGGTGTGTTCAATGCAGGGCATTGCGATTAATTGAAAGTCCAACTTGTAACTGCCATCATGCTGCTGAAATTATCCGGCACGTCATCTTGGGTGTTGTTTTCAAAGTCTAAGACTGTTGCATCTATGTTATCGAAAGGCCTCAGTGACTGCATGTTAACTCTCCTGCAGCTTCAGACAAAAACACTTTATCAGTGTTATCATGGGTTTTACTTTAGCGTAATTATTACCTTGGGCGATTAGATTTGAGTTTGTGTCTTGCATGTGCTCCAGCTGGCACAAGCCTAAATGCTCATCTGCTTTGTAGCCTCGAATTATCAAACGCATTGTGGTTCATTTCGTCCTGCTCAGTGTTAGCCTATATGTCATGTTAATAATGTGGTGACTTGATGGCTTCATGATAATGATATAATATGGTGGAAATTTTACATTTACAGAATGCAAAGTAAAGGCTAACTTTATGTGAAAGGTTCAACAAAAACTCAAACCTGGAATAGAGGACACCGAGCACAGCATTCAGTGATATTTCTGCCATGGTTTTAAGTTCGTAGGCTACAGGATATTATTGCCTTAAAACGCTGGTTCGCTTGTGGGTTCATTTTGTATTATGCCAGTGCAAACCCGCGGTGGTGTCAATGCGGACCTCGGGCAGAGTCCCTTTGCGCTATAATAAAATCCTACTATAAATCATATTATTCCTTAAGGGATTTATGCCCATGTATTGTAGACTCGTTTATCAATTCATCTGTATCTTCTTTATTAAATTGTCCTTGTCTTATACGCCGCGTTGAAATACAACCTGATCTAATAGGATTGTAATATTTTAGTTTTAAGGGAATGTTGCGTTAGCCAGTGGTTTAGGTGCGTCACGATCTACTGCATAAAAAGGGGCGAAGTGTGCTTTATTGTGGGGTGGGGTGGGGGAGATTTTAGTTCAAAGAAAACTTTGTTTTTGTGTTAAAAGTGCTTGGGTCAAGGTAGAACTGTATTTTAACCTTGTTGAAGGACGGCTGCATTTACTGACATATGTAAATGAATGTAGGGGAGGTCCTTGGGCGAAAAACACACTGAATCAGTTTCACATTGCAGCGCCGGAGTTCCTGCGTGGAAGGAAAAACGAGACGTGGCGAAATCTGGGGAATATCTGCAGCCATATGCTCATTGTAGGCTATAATTTGTGGCATTTGTGAACCATTCTGGTAGCCTATAGTCCTGGGAAGTGTGCTTTTCCTTTTCTCCTTTTTGGCTAAATGGGTGATCACGCAGTCGCTTTGCAGTTGCCTGGTCCCTCTAACATCATATTTTCGGAGTTGTCCCAGTTCATCAGATACTACAGCAGCCCAGCGAGCTCGGTGAATGATCTCTTAAATTACAATAATAATAATAACTCTTCATTTCTCTTTCTCCTAGTTGCATCTCCGCAAACCATGCAGGATGATTTACTGATGGACAAAAACAAAGCCCAGCCTCACCATCAGCAAGATCCGACGCAAGTGGACCCTCCTCCCTCCACCCCGACCCCGTCATTGGAGCCCAGTTCTTCTTCATCCGAGTCGGAGAGCCCATCGACCGGGAGCAACCAAGCTTCAGCGCTCAACATCAGCAGCAAGGACAAAGTGCCGATGGAGTCACCGATCCTGCCCGGTTTGAGCTTCCACCACCAGCCGCAGGAGATCGGCGGCCCTCTTCCCTCTCCTTCCTCCTCGTTTGGAAGCACTTGGTCCACGGGAACAACAAACGCTGTGGACGATAGCTTTTTCCAAGGAATACCCTCGGTGAATGGGACGATGCTTTTCCAGAACTTCCCCCACCATGTCAACCCGGTTTTCGGGGGTAATTTCTCCCCGCAGATCGGTCTGGCTCCCCAGTCTCAGCAACATCAACAGCAAGCTCAGCAGCAGCAGCAGCAACCCCAGCAGAGAAGATCCCCTGTCAGCCCTAACCAAGGCCCCTTTCCCCAGAGAAACGCTTATCAGACCGTCATGAATAACAGCAAGGGGTCGTCGTCGTCTTCGTCTGCCTCGTCGTCAGCTTGGAATAACCACCAAAACGCCGCATGGAGCACAGCTTCCAACCCCTGGGGCGGGCTGCAGGCAGGCAGAGACCCGCGCAGAGCAGTGGGCGTCGGGGTAGGGGTCGGAGTCGGCGTCGGGGTGCCGTCACCTCTAAACCCCATCTCCCCCATGAAAAAGCCTTATAGTAGCAATGTTATAGCACCCCCAAAGTTCCCAAGACTTGGTCCCCTCACCCCCAAGCCCTGGATGGAGGACAGCGCCTTCAGGACTGACAACAGCAACAACATACTGCCTTTCCAGGTAAGATCAGGCCTAGGCCTGGCTTTATTGATTCAGCCCGTGTTCAAACATATTGACCACCACTGTGACATGTTGTCAGATTTGCCTTCTCAGATTACATTACATTTTTCTAGTGTATTCTAAGCCATATAAATAATCCAGCAAAACCACCAGTGTCTGAGATAAAAAGACATTAAAGTAGACTGGACTAAGGTCACCCTTAACTTGTCAATAGCAGGGATTCATAATGGGTCCATATAGGTATTAATTAGCTATGTGTGTGTCATATAAGACAGACTTACAATAAAAAATTACATTTTATCATCAGTAATCTTTCTATAGCCTATGCTGTTCACAGTCATTACTTTTTAAATGATCATAACGATGCACCTTTGGAGGCGGTCATTTAAATAGATTTCCTTTATTCACAATAAGATCAAAGATTTTTATTGTCAGTTCACTATATGTGCAGGGCATACAGAAAATCGAAATAGTATAAAATATATCTATTTTAAATGTAAGATACATGCTGTAGTTAAATTGACAGATTTTGCCGGTAGCTGTCAACGTGTAAGTCTATGGCTTGTGTGCTGGAAGATTGTGTTGTGGAGGTCAAAAAAATCGAATGAGACAGAATCCTTTAAGTAATAACCATCACTGATAGCTATTTTTACGCAGCCAAAGACAAACACACTCAGTCCTAGAAATAGTCACAGCTCACGGTTTATTGCACTAATAGCTACATGTCCTTTGCCAGCTCACTCTCCATGGGGTTTAAAGGACACGTGATGCATTCATGTGCTCCTTGTACCGGTCTGAATTCAGACTGACAAGACCTGTATGTGCACACTTGCTTATCAGTTCACATCCAATGAACAGGAAGGATTTCTTTTTTCCATGATAGTTTGATAATTGAGTGTTAAATATTTTATAAACGGGTGAAAGCACAGTAAACAGTAGAAACCGGGAATCTGAGGGTTATATATTTATGCTCATTTAAAAAAAAATCACCAAAACACAGTAACATCCAACAGTAACAACATTGCTGATGCCCTCACCTGGAAGTGTTAAGAAGTTCAATATTACAGGAGGTCAACATCATTACTTGTATTTGATTGGCTTATAATGGGATATTGGGCGGTGTTTTAACCTGAGATGAAAATCGAGCGTAGGTCCAACCCGGAAGTTAGAGTAGTTTTTCCACATTTTACTAAAGAAGATGCCAATATTAAACTCTTAATGTGAGTTTCAACAATATGTGTTACATAATACATGTTCTGACACAGATATGAGTCCATATTTTCTGTCCACGACTATGAAAAGTAGTTAATGTATTCAGGGTCTAACCATACCTAAAGGAATTAACTCGGGTCTTTTTTATGTTCAGAAAAACGGACAGCTGACAAGAAAATAACGTTTAACATTAAAGTGAAGTTTGTGGAGAAAAGAGTGTGTACCTTGTTGTAGAGAGGACTAGACTAGGCTACACGTGCAGACGAACCACAGCCCAGTGCTGGCTGAAATTCCAACTTGAAACATATAGCCTTTTGAGGAGATTGTGTGTGTGTGTATGTGTCAGTCAGGCCTCCCCAAGCTTTATTATTTTTCTTCCTCTGCTAAGTGCCCCATTTCTGTTCTCTTGACTTGGATAGCATACAGCTCCAGTTATCACCAAGAGCCAAGGTCAAGGGGCCACATGTCTTGCTGTGTAGAGAGGTCTGTTTACTGAAATATAAAACAGGCAAAAAGCAGAGATGAAGTTCAACCGTGCATGCCCTCCTTGTTCACTCGTACACTACTAGTCTAAAGTTTGGACACACTTTCCCCTTCAATTCAATGGAAACCATGTCCAAAACTTTTGACTGGTAGTTTTTGTCTGAGTTTTTAAGCAGAAATGCCAACTATTTGTTTGTACACGTCTCCTAGCTGGGAGGATTTTCTGCTTTGCTCTCTTTGATATCATTGTAAATTGAATATCTGAATAAACCAATACAGGGCAGCACGGTGGCACGGTGGGTAGCGCCATTGCCTCACAGCAAGAAGGTTCTGGGTTCGCGACCTTTCTGTGCGGAGTTTGCATATTCTCCTTGTGCTTGCGTATGTTCTCTGGGTACTCCTGCTTCCTCTGACTGTCCAAAGTCATGTGGCTTAGGTTGATTGGTGACTCTAAATTTCCCGTAAGAGTGAAGTGAATGTGTGTGTGTGTGTGTGTGTGTGTGTGGTTGTTCATCTGCGTGTTGGCCCTGCGACCTGTCCAGGGTGTACCCCGCCTTTTGCCCACAGCTGGCTAGGATTGGCTCCAGCCACCCCCCCCCCCCCCGTTTGGGGCTAAGCGGTATAGAAAATGAGATGAGAATAAATTAATACATCACCTCAGTCTAAACTTATGATGGGGAATTTTTCACTGTTTTCTGGCATTTTTTTTTGACAGTTCAGTCAATCTGATTAAATAAAAAAGCATTCTGCAGATAAATTTGTATTGAAGTTATTCAGTAGTTTGTACCCCTGATGCCAATAAGGTGCTTTATTTGCATATGTATATATTATTATTTGAAATATTGTCATATTAACAGTGATACTGTTGAGGTTTCTTTTGCTGAAACAGAAAGTGTTCACAAATGATAGTTCTCTTTTCCACTACATTTATTACAGCGGTGGTGTTTCATGTTTATCTCTTCTGCAGACTTGTCATATATAACTAAACCATAGACTTCTTTTGTTCAAACAAGCCTCCAAAAACCAGAAAACTGGCTGAATTCTGCAAAATACTTGACACTTTTTTTCACTATTTATACTTGAAAAATGACTGAAACGATTAATCGATTAACAAAATAGTTGCCTGTTTTTCTGTTGATCAGTTAACTGATTAATCGCTTCAGGCAAAATATTTGAATTCTCCAGCCTAACTCATTAATTCTGATGTCACCAGGGTTGCCTCAGTGATGGAGCTCCAGCTCTAGCTCACACTTGGCTGCTTAACAATTACACCCATAATTGGAGAAGAGTTTTCACCAGGATGTGAGGTCAGGGTACCACATGTGAGCAGGCCTGTTTACTGAAATGAAACTCAACAGTATACCGCTGAGTCAAGCTGCAGGAGGGGTACACACACTGGTTCCTCTCTGTCATGTGGACAGCTGGTGACAGGTGTACTTGCTGTCATCCTGTAGATCTCCTTCAGTCTTCCTCAGATGCCACAGATGAAATGCAGGCTGCAATGTTGAGTCCTGTGTGCTTCAATATGTGCTGGTACTCGCCTGCTGCTGGCTGCTGCTTAAAGGCTAAGGAATGTGTGGAATTCAACTTAACATGTCAGTGTGAGGCTTAAGACGCAAAGTCAAATACCCTGATTTGAAATTATGGTAGTGGAGGTTGTTGTGTGGTCACCTGTGATCACATTATATCAGATTATGAAACTGGAAGCTAGTGGGCAGTCTTAGGCCAGACTCTCTCTGATGGCTGTGCAAAATGGCAGGAGTTTTGACAAATTTGAGCGTGTAACCACAGGTGTGATTTACATTAGGAACCTGATGTGGTTCAGCTTGTTTTAATTCAGATTTAACCTTGCATGTATTCAAATAGGCTACAGTATATAATAAAAGTTAGGACTGAAAGTCACAGCCAATTGTTTTGGTGTCAGTGGGCATGTTAGTTCATGCTCTTTATGAAAAATTGCAATAGTGCTGAAACAATTGTCCATTAGTCAGTCAACAAAAGTTCTACAACGATTTCAATTGCTGATTTGTTGTTTAAATCATGCAGAAAATGCCAAATATTTTTTTTCTACTTTTATCATATTTACTGTTTGTTGATATTGCAAATGGCTTATGACATTTTGTCAGACAAATGAAGCAGTGTTCAAATGTCGGTTTGGAGTTTTTTACTCCAAGTATTTTTATGACATTTTCTAGGTTAAATAGTTTTAAAAATTCAAATCATAAGACGAACCATGAATTTAAATGGACCTCAATAAAACTGGGAAAAAATTTTTTTGTCAGGGTAACATGCAGTGTTGTTATACCTGAGTGAAGGACTTGGACTCGAGTCTGACTCAAGTCCAGATTTTCAGGACTTGTGACTCGACTTGGATTTGAGCCCTGATGACTCAGACTCGAGCATTAACTGCTTTCGGACTAAGGAGCTTGAGATGAGGACTGACTTTTATTTATTTATTTTTAAGATATTGATATTAAAACTTGTTCACTCATATCACACTGTACCCAGCACATTTCCATGAAAACATATACTCCCACCTTCTATAAATAATTTTTATACATCAAATTGCAGAGCAGTATGGTGATGCAATACACTTTTAGCAAGCTTGGAAAACTTGGAATAGCATGTTTGACTGCTCAGCTGACTGTGCAACAATAGGTGTGTTGTGCAAACAATGGGTCCACAGCTCGAGCAGTGGACACAGGACACTGCTGCCAAGGCTACAGCCTCCAGCTCTGGCCAGGTGCGCTCTCAGTACATGTGCCTTTTTCATAAATTCATTCACACTCAAGTGGGTGGCTGAACATTTCATAAGCAGTGTGCACTTTAACCTTGAGGTGTTTGATGTAGTATTGACTGTCCACTCCATCCTGCCTCACAGGATCAGGAAATTAGTTGTTTCATGAATCACCAGGGGAAAATAACAATGACAGTGTTACCTGCTGTAGCACAAACAGAAGGTTAGAGCTCCGCCACAGCACCCAACTCCAACTCTCAGGGCACTTTCACAACCAGTTGCATCAGGTGGCACTGCGTTTCTGTCAGAGGGGCTTAACAAAAAGGACCTAGATAGCACTAAGGTGCTTTCATAATCTCTACACAATCTTTTTAGTAATGACTGCAAATTTCATGTTTTGAATTAAAATTTGGTCAGTTTTTACAGTTGGGTGTAAAGTTTTCATCCCGTTGCTTTGAAATGGCTAAAAGAGGGAAAACAAAGATTTGTTGTTTTTTTTTTCATGAATATAATATTAAATGAACATTCAGCTAGTACAACTGTTAGTGTATAAAAAAGTTACAGTAAAATAATGAAAATATCAGTGTAAAAGTTTGCATCTTCCTTTATGAAATGTTCTCTAGGTACTGTGTACGTTCTCCCTCACCTCCTCCAGCCTCTTTGTGTTCCCTCTGAGCAGCATTTGGATCCACTCGTGTAATTTTAGCCCGTTCTTCATGGCTTACTTGTTCCAGGTCTACCAGACTGCTTGGATGTCTACGTACAGCCCTCTTCAAATCAGTCCAAAGGTTTTCAATGATATTTAAGTCTGGAGATGGGGAAGGCAATGGTAGTATGTTCACCCTATTCTTTTAAACCATTCCTGAGTTGACTTTGCTCTGTGTTTTGGATCATTGTCTTGTTGAAGGATCCACTGCCTTTTCATTTTTAGCTTTCTGACTGATGGTCGGAGGCTTTGCTTTAAAATCTTTGAAGAGGGCTGTACATTGCACACAACCAAGCTTTGTCTTTGTTTTGAATATGATCACCTGTGGTGACTAATTCCAGCCTTCTTCTGTTTTATGTTTCAGGACCGGAATCGGCCCTTTGATGCTTTTAGCTTGCACGCTTTGGAGAATTCATTAATGGATATGATAAGGACTGACCATGACAAAGGTAAACCACACCCTGCCGGTGGCCCACCAATGACTATCGCTGATATTATATGGAGGAATCATTTTGCAGGTTAGGAATATTCATACGTCCATGCATATAGTATATGGGTTGTTCCTTTTTTGTGTATGGGTTTTTTTTTGTTTTGTTTTGTTTTGTTGCTTGATGGGCATATATCATCTCTGGGTACATTTGCTTTTCTTTTGCTCTATTTACCAATCCCCTAACCAATCCAGTATAGCATCACATGACTTGTGCTTTTGTTGACTTAATATGTTGTGAGCATAAATATGGAATGTTTGAGTATGTTTGTGGTTTATTTTTGTTATTTTTACTCAATGGTATGATTATGACAAAGCAGAATTAGGAAATCATACCTGGACTTACATTTTGTATGTGATTATGACTTCTCCTAACTGAATCAGAGCTTCAAGATGTTTCTAAGCAACCTTGACACACTGAATGGTGAAATGCAGATTTAGACTTGCTGCAAATAAATCGGCACCATGCTGTTTTGTCTCCAGGGAAGTTTTGAGAAATCATGTGTCAAATCTCTGTTCACATCGGTTTATAGCTGTCCAATGTAAGTCAGTTCTTCTAAGGCAGTATTTTTGTAGCAGTCATGTGTCTATTGTAAGAAAGCAATGTCTCCCATGGGGCCTGTCGGATTGAGTATACAGTATGCGCTTTATGCTCCCCCATCCTCCAGTCTTAACAATGGAAAGATTGGTTGGACGGATGCATATGAGCAGAACATGTCTAGAATCTGTTTCCCCATTCTTGCTGAGAGGGCATTGTTCAAACAAACTGGCCCAGCCTAACTTCACTGGAAAGGTGTTGTAATGTCCTGTGGAGCTTTCCTTGTGGTTGTTTATCAAAGCACAACAGAGAAAGAGGAGATAGAGACAGGCAGGGCGGTATATGGACAGGGATGTGTATTTCTGCACCTTGTTATGTAGACAGTATGGTGCTGCAGTAAACTACCATGCCAACCACAGAGTAACTCCACCCTGCTAGATTATCTACTCACTGTCTGAGAAATGCTTTGGTCCAGCATAATGCATTAGATTTTTTTGTTTTTTAATACTTTGCTCAAACGTTTCATATAATAAACATGTTAGGGCACAGATGGTCCCGTTGACACCCATATGGAAATATTTCTAATCAATATTGAGTATAGAGAGCTGAAGGTATGTTGTCACATCCAGTTAGCCTCTGTTTTGCTAGCTTGAATGACTCTATGTAGCCTCTCATTTAACACTTTTTCATTGAAAGAAAACTAAGTGCATTCCTCTGGGGTTTTTTAAATTCCATATTCTAAGACAAGCAACCAACCACTACAACACTTACTACTGGAAGTTGAAACCTTTGTGGTTTTTATAAGATTTAATTAAAAAAATTTTTAAATTTTTTATTTTGATTTTTGTCTTTTAATAAATTTTTTTTTTTGCAGTGGAAAAACTACAGTTCTCGTGATCGCTTTGCAGCACGGCAGTACACATATTGTACGTCACTTATTTACTAGACTCTGCATATTTATGTTTATGTTTAAGTTGCATTATTTAGCAGCTGCTTTTGTCCAAGGCAACATACAAAAACATTAGAATAACATCAGTTAATATAAGAATGAATATATATTTTTCTTTTCTCCTTTTTATGGCATTTGTTTACCTTTTTTTACACTTCCAGCCCCATGTACAGTGGGCTAATCCCACATTTCACAACACAATGAACTGTGGGGAACTCCCTCGTGTAAAGTCTGCAGAAATGCCGAGTTAAGGAAAGTGAGCATAAAGGGCTCAGAATGAAGGCAAGAGAGCCTTCATGCACTTGACAGTTTCACATTGGGGACAGCCCTGAGCCCTCACTAAATCAGTGGTAACACACCTCGGAGTCTGTGAGTATGGACATTGGGACTGGGGGCAGGAATCAGACTTTTGTGATGTCCTCAATCCTTGACCCGGAAGTGAGTGATCAAATAACTGGGATTTACCCATAGACTGACCATTTAATGAACTGTTGAGGATAAGCGAGGACATTTTCAAATGGACAGGTGCCACCTGATGAACCTGATCAATCTCTCCAACAAGTAAAGCAAGAATTTAGATGATATAATATTGATGTTTAAATTAAAAAACATTACAAATTTGACTTTAAACTTGATCTTTTGTTGTTGAGTGCTAACTGATGATGAGCTAGTCAGTCATTCCTAATTGAAACTACTCTTTGTTTGACCAGATACAACTTGGAGACAAGATCATATAATTTTCATCGTACTACTTTGCAGATACTACCCACGAGCTGAGAAGCACCAGTCAAGACTAATTAGCCCAGTAGGCCCTGTTTTGCATTCTCAACTCACTGGGTCCCACCCATATCCATCCCGTCTCAAACATTTCTCACAATACTTGTCACGGTGACTGGAATAGTTGAGTACTTAGAGTCCTTGTATATGTATTTAGAAAGGAGAGGTATTTGTACTGTGTCATGAATGAGAATCAGTGGATCTCTTAAAATGAGTGTGAGGTGACCCCACCCATTCTGTCAAAATAGTTAGGAAGGCGAGGCCACCTCAATTCAGCTAGTTTTCGTCTGAACAGTCTTGTTTGGAAAGGAGAGTCAGCTTCAAAGGGTGTGTGTGTGCATGTTTGTGAGAGAAACACTTCATACTCATGATCCTCTCAGATGTTCTAAAATTTCTTTGCTCCTGGCTGAGGTGGACTGCTCCCCAGGGACATCTGAACAATCGGGCCCTTCACACACACACACACACACACATACACACACACACACGCGCTACATGTCGTTCCAGAACTAGGCACCCCGACACACACCCACACTCTAGAGATTCTCCCCCTTGGCCTGGAAACACTGCCACTGCTGTCAGCAGTATGACAAGAAACACATGCAGGATACACACAACCAAATTGTTTCTGACATATAAATCAACTTTGACATTCCTCATTGTTGTCTCTCACAAAGACAGGCAGCCACTCCCTGCGCGCGCACACACACACACACACATGCACAGTTTCTTGATGTTGACACTAACCACTTGAGATACTCATCATAAGTGGTAATAAGTCCCCTAAGTCTTTGTGGAAGCTGTGAGTGGATCCCACCCTGACCACAGTGTCTCTCTCTCTCTCTCTCTCTCTGAAAACACATTGTCTCAGCTAGTCTAACTTGCATGATCTTACTCATGTCTCACGCAATTTGCATAGTCTTTTTGGAACTTAAATTTGCATTAAAGTTAAAAAATCTGCAGTCTTGCACAAAATAGTTACAGCTTGTTGTTATCTTTTTAATTTATTAATTAAATGAATAGTTCAGCATTTCTGGATTTAAGATTATTTGCTTTCTTGCTGTGAGATTAGTTAGTAGATATGCCTATAGAGTAAATATATTAATAGTAGCCAAATAGCTTATCCTAGCATAAAGATTGGAAAATGAGAGAAATGGCTAGTTTGGTTAGGTGCATAAATAAAATGAATTCACCTACTAGCACCTCTAAAGCTCACAGAATGACATTTTACATCCTGTTTATTTGAGTCTTATAAAAATGAACTTTAAAAATAGGAGTGCTTGGACTATTTCTTGGCCAGGTGCTGATGCTAAGTTAACCTAATTTTCCAAAATGGCATGGTATTCTTATCTAATGCTTGGCAAGAAAGAAAAGAGACATATTTCCCATAATGTGAAACCATTCCTTTATTTGTCAAGTTTATAAAATGTCAGAATATGAGAACAGTGGTTATAATCAACAGTTAGCAAACCTGCTAAAGCTCAAACTGCAGAGCTCACAGCCAACAAATGTTTGGAAATTTATTTGAGACATGACTTTAAAAATATTTCTAAATAGTTTGTGTGTGTGTCTGTCTGTGTGTGGAATGACTTAACTAATTGTTTTAGCCACCAGCTGGAATTTATTCTGAAAAATGCCAAGTACTTTTTCTGTACACAAACAGTTTCTCATTCATTTTACCATCTGTGTTGTGTTTGGGTGTCTCCTGTCAGCTGTTAGTTAACACCAACAGTCAGTATGAAGTATAATGCTGTTGTTAGAGATAGTAAGTGCCAGCTATAACTGAAGCCAGTAGTGGAGGGAGGTCAAACACTGTTGCTGTTTAACTTTGTTTGCTTGTTGACAAGAGCATTTGTCAATAGATAAGCGCTGACACACACAGTTGTTTTTTTTAGTCAGGAGGAAAACGAGAACTGTACAGGCAAGATGAGTAACTGATTTATGTTTTAATGAAATTAAGCATTTGGTAAAGCATTTATTGAAACTTGCAAGTCCAGACATTGCACTTTCTGTCTCTCTGTAAGCTAAGGTTGTGGTATACATTTCTCCAGGAAAGTTTAAGTATCAAGGTTAACGATAATGTTTTTAGTTAAAGATTTAGCTTTGGACCAAGGAAACAAGCAAACTAAAAGGTCCGTTTTTAGAGATGAAATTTGATTGCAAGAGGAGGTCTATGTGACATTTGTCTTAATTTAGGTTTTGAAAGGTGTCTGACCAGCTAAACCAGTGGTTAAAGGTCAATATTTGGCTGACAAACTGACAAGACCCTTGACTTTTCAACCCTTGCAGTTAACACATGAGATGATCTCAACCTCAGAAGGATGCCCCTGTACTTTAAACAGCCGGTAATGACTGTATCGAGATAAGATGATATGTTTGTTGGCTGTGTTAAAGGTTACCTTGCACCTGGCTTCCAATAAGCTATACTGTCAGGTTGCTTTGTTTTCTTGAGGTGAAAAATGCATGACACTTGCAAGCATGATCGAGCTAATTCAGTCCAGGCAACAAGACAAGCCTGGGCTTGTTTTGTCCAGATCACCTTATTATTATTATTATTACTGCAGCTGCCAAATTGTGCATCAAGATCAGCTATGTTCTGGAAATTCTTTATTACTGTATAAAGGGAATGTAGTAATAATTAAATTTATTTTTAAGAAATGTAATTAGCAGTTGGTGATTGATTTATTTGGAGGTTTCCCCCTAGAAATATGCCCCAACCGTTTGTGTTTTACACTGTAGGTTACATATATTTTTACATAGTTTTTACAGTTATGGCTTAGTAAATAAAGGAATATTGTAATGTTGAGGGTTGCTGGGTTCAGCTCAAGCTAATATGCAGTGGAAGCAGTAGACTGTTCAGTCAGACAACATGCCTCTCTTGCCAGGTTTTCTCACAGAAACATCCGTCCCTCCCCTCCTCTCTCATGGCATTCAGTTATTGATAGCAGTTGATGAAAGATATTCATCATCATCAAAGATATTCATTTCAGTTATACAGCTGGTGTTGCTTTTAACCTGGTTTCGTGTGGTGTCTTGATCATTTTGCTTTGCTTAGGCCTCATGTTCCGCACTGACAATTTTGAAGCACCCACATCTTAAGTTGATGGGCTCAAGCTAGGTCCAGATCATAGTCTTTATCCAGTTTCTACCAGCATGGTCACAGTGAGGTCACTGTCCAGTTTGTAGATTGTCAGGCACGTGAAGGGGAGATGTTGTTGGAGCTGTGCCTGAGGAAGCAGATGGTGTGTTTCCTGAGTGTCCATGCTGCTGTGCAACCATCATGAGGAGGTTGAGAATAGCTCAGGCTGTCCATGACAAAATGTCACCAGAACAGCAGCAGCAGCAAGTCAGCGGCCCCTCAGGCTCTACCACTTAGCTCCTCGGGGAAGCAGATGGCACATGCCCAGAGCTATTCTAAGGCTTCGGGAGGGCAACTGTCCCCCTTCCCAAAATGACTAATATGGATAGAAAAGTGAGCACAAAGTGTTTGTTGTGACATTTGCCCTTCTAACAGCAATGTCACGGCTTTGTGAATTGGTGTAACGGAGTGTACTGGTCCCCAGTGTGCACCAATCAGCCATAAAATTATGACCATCTGCTTAATACTGTTTATACAGGAGTCAATGTGGCAGTTGGTTGGCACTCGTGTCACTCTGCAGCTCACTGTGCATCTTCTGTGAATCCATTTGCACAGAATTCATTCCACACTTCTACTGTCAGGAAGAGCACAGATGTGTCTACAATTCAGTGAAAAACTGATGTAAAAGGAGTGAAAACTGTGGTCGTGAGGACAAGTTAGAGAGAATGTTTTAGACAAATTCAACAGCCTCACCATTCTAGGTGTGATATCACCACTACAGCCCCTGATTCTTTCTCTTCATAGAGACCAGTGTACAGTATTTCTCATTTTCAACCATTTTAACAAAGATTCAGATAAATTTGAATCATTTGAAAAGTACAAATGGAAGTTAAAAGTTTATTCTACAGTAGGGCAACCTCATCATCAGTAAGCTGTGGGCGTCCATGACCCTGTCTCCAGTTAGGACTGAATGTTCACTTGCTGCCTAATATACCCCACACAATGACAGGTGCCACTGTAACAGTCAATATTATTCACTTCACCTGCCAGTGGTCATGTTATACCTGATTGGTGTATAATGTATTACGTTTCTGATTATCTTCTGTTTTTGCTCAAACAAATATACTGGGACTGGGTCAAAGTTCTCCTTCTGGGAAAAGGGATTCTCTGAAAGACACTAGTCAGACATTTGGGCTTAAACTCTGTCATTTGGTTGGCTGACCACCCACACATTTACCAATACACATGTCAATGCAGCTGTCTTCTGTGGTTGTTGAATTAGGAAGAAAGCCTAGCTTGACTGTCAAATGTAAGCCTGGTGAGACAGAGAAAGCAGTGGATGACAGGAGTACTTTGTGAAAAAACTCTAGTGTCAGGCAGCAACTCTGGATTTGCCTCCATTTGGGTGTATGTTGCCAAAATTCTAGCCGTTCCCTTATAATAATAACAACTTGTAAAGAGAACATGACACTGGGCCACATATCTTTATGTCACACATATCGACATGTTAACACAAACATGTGTGAATGCCTGTGCCTGGGACGCTCCATTTGGCCCCCGAGCCGTGCTGTTGGCTGGATTCAGACTGGCTGAGAGCAGTGTGGAAATCCACATCTGTGGAACTCCAGGGTGGCCACCCCTTGACCCCCACCAGGTCTAACTGCTTTTTTCTTCTCTTATTTGTGATCCAGGAAGAGGTCCTCTCTATGTCCCCCACTATCTGTCTTGTGTAGCCAGGTTTTTAATATTTTTATGTCATTTTGTTTGTGATATAACAGCTTGCAACCTGCCAGTCTCAAGTCCATGTTACCTATACTAGCAGTACAACAAAACATCCATGGCAGTTGTCCATTTCAACCAGTGTTGCGTTAAAAGTGGAGTGACTCTAGAAGTGGTGGGGCAGGCTCACAAAGGCTGCAGCTCACCAAATCTAAAGCTTTTTCTAAATATCAGTGTTTGGAATGTATCCCAGTGAAAGCATTGCTTCACCTCCTGTCTGCTCTAGGTAGGATGTCTGCTGCTGTAGGTGGATATTAAGTGGTTAGAGATAAAGGGTGTGTCTCTGCGGCTTCCACTGCAAACGTTGTTGACAGTGAGATGGCAATAGTTTATCCTAAACTAAACTAGGCATTTCTACCTCAGTCTAAATTGTGCTTTTTTTTTTTGTCACCTGTATGGGTAGGATGATGAAGACAGAGATTTCTATTTACGCATCCCACACCACTTCTCTCCCTATGAAAGCACTGGTAGATGGGCCCTTGTAACATGCGAACATTGTCACCATTGTAGATTACACACACTGTTGAATTCCTAGCCTTATAGCTGTCTTCGTGTGTGTCTGTGCACATTTGAAATATGTGACAGCAACAAAATACATGTTTCTCCCTTGTTTTTTACATTTGTTTTCTGTGGTTGTCTTTTCTGCCATGGCATCATGTTGGGTATATTTGTTGTTTATTCTTTTCATGTTAAACATTTCATCTTGGTCGCTATTTTCCTATTGCTGACAGTAGAATGGAAGATTTAAACGTGTGGCTGTCAACATGGTGTCTTTTATCAGTAATTTTCACATTTTCCCTCTTTTGTAAAGCCTTTTCTATTTTTCTTTTAACAGGACGTATGGGCCTGAACTTTCATCACCCTGGAGCAGACCACATAATGCCACTGAATAGTAAGTCACATTTGATTGGAGTACCCATCGTTCTTCTTGTGTCATTACTGTTTTTTGTGCTCTGTGCTCTAAAAGAATTCAGAATGGGAAATACTTTGTAGCTTGTTCTCATTAAAAAAAATGTCCCCTAATCACAGGATCCCCCATGTCAGAATGAACTGGGCACACCTGTTTGTCCTTTGCTAATGCCTGGATTCCCTGACATCATAAGCCTGGGACAGTCCTCTTAGCACTGGGGGATGCACAGTCGACTTGTGAATAGCACTTCCAAAAATACCCCAGCATGTCAAACTAGATTCCCCCTGGTGTCCCACCAGCCCCCAGATCAACGATAGTGACAGGAGATAACCCAGAGAGAGAAATCAGGTCTTTATCCTATATGTCGCTACATGGTGCCATAAAGTTTTCCAGGCTAGGCTCTGCTCTTCTGAGGATCTTTATTCGTCTTTGGGTGGGTTTTTTGCAGTGTCCTCTAGTTCTATTAGGGGAAGGTACATTTCCCATGTTTTTTTTCCCCAGACGTCAGCAAAATATCAAGGCTGCCTGGACTGATTGATGATCAGACCAAAGCAGCAAAGCCCTGCTTTCCTCCCTGGACATGTTGATTTGGCCTGCAGGGTATAGGCATAGATAAAGGCAGAGGATGGCTAACATTAAAACAAAAAGTTCTTCGTGCAGCAGTTTCCTGCTGTCAAGTCTTGACAGCACTGGTGCTCCTTCCTCATTTTGTTCTTTTCATCATTTGGTGTCCTCGGAGAACGTGTCTCGGATTGATGTTAAACTGTTGTGTCATGGGATTATGCTCAGGCTAGCAATGATCTGCCCAGATCTTCCAAGTCTATTGGAACTGGCTCACTCCACTGAATCCTGTGATGTGTGTAGACAGGGAGGCATTGGTTTCAACTTTAAAGTGTTTTACTAAGTGGTTCTCCTTCATTTCATCTTTTTAGCTTTGAGGTTTTGTGAGAAAGCCAGTAAGATCTCTTACTTTCTCTGGATGGTGTTAGAGCTTGAAGTGAGAAAGAAAAGGTGGAGAGCAGAAAGTGCACATCCTCTATCCAGATTAATTGGTGGTGTTCACTTGACAGCTTAGTTGAGACGTCTGAGGCTTTGAAGCCGAGTAGAGCTCGAGAAGGACTTGCCCAGTTTCCTCTCAAATATTTTCTTTCTCCTAGACACCACACAGTTAGAATTTGCTACTCATTCTTAACTTCACTCTTGCCTTTCCTCCTCTCTGTTATGGGTTGTATTCTCTCCCTCTCCCTCTCCCTCTCCCTCTCCCTCTCCCTCTCCCTCTCTCTCTCTCTCACACACACACACACACACCAGACAAGACCCTGATCCCACTGGGAGTTCGGCTGTAATGTGATGGTTTCCAAGCACAAAGTTTTCTTCATTTCGGCCAGGTTGCTAGGTAACTTTGTTTCCCCCAGCCAGTGAGAGGCCAAAGCAGCAAAGGGACCGCCCAGGTTTTTTGGATTAGACAGCCTGATCTTTTTAATAAAAACATAGCAAGGGAGAAGAGGCTCTGAGACAATATATTCTCAGAAAGAAGCCAGGGGGGCAAGTCGCACAATGGGGCTCTCACAATGCAAAAGCTCATATTGGCTTTTGAGGCGACAAGTCTGCTTTGTAACTGATGAGTTTAGAAGAGCAGAAGGATCTGCTTAGTCCTGTGTTACATCTCCTGCTGTTTGTTGGAATTTGCATTATCTTAATCCACATTTTGCCCCCTCTGCGGCTTCCATTCCCAGCACAGTGAGATTCAAATTGAGCTCATTTGTGGGAATTAATACAATTTCATTTCAAGATGTGGCTTGTACATACAACTTGAGTTGCTTTGAGTGTAAAAGTGAACTTTTGACTTTGGGAAAAAAATTACAGCATAAAAAATCATAACTCATGGTCTACTTACTAGCTTTTTCCAGAACTTTCAGATGTATCTCCTGGTCTTTCTATGCAGATGAAATTTGCTGCTGTTGTCATAGAAATTGCTTAGTTGTTATCACGAGATCAAAATATGGAAACTTGATGCAAAAAGGTGGTTGTATGTGGAGAAAATCTGTTTAAAGTTCCAGAAAAAGCTACTAAGTCAGCCTTGACTTACTGGAAATAATGTAGTTCATTTTGACAAAAGCTTTTTAGTGGCTTTTTCTAGAGCTTTTGGCTGCTTTGCATGGTCTTCCTCAGTGGATAGAGTTTGCTCAGTCATCATCAAATGACCTAAGAATGGAAATGTTGTCATCCAATAAAAGCTTTGTGTTTGACAAAAGAACCAGAGCACGGGGTCAGTTTATTAGTTTTTCTGTAGCTTTTGACTGCATTTCATGGTCTTCCTCAGCAGATGTAGTTGCTCATTTGTCATAGACCTTAGTTCATGATAAGTTATCACATATGGTGAAGGAAACGAGGAAATGAGTTTGAAAGCTCTGGAAAAAAAATAGTAAGTGGATCTTGAGGTTAGTTTTGTTTTTGTTCAATTGACCTACATTGTGTCGAGTTAGTCAAAAACTGCATCTGACAAAGCTACACACATGACACCAGTAAAGTTCACAGTTGTTAACTGTTTTACAACTGTTTTAGATTTAATATGAGTCACTGCAATGAAACGAGCGATAAAAACTGAAAAGATTAGACAGACATCATTCTGAAGACTGGCACATGTGACCAGCTGATTATACATAGGTGCTGTTGTTTTGCTTGGCCACAGTTCAGCACATCATCATAGCCCACACTGCCCCCGTCCTCTCTGAATGTTATCCTCCCTTCCTATAGCCCCAAGACTGCCAGCCCACCTCTATATGCCCACTTTATCCTGTGGGAAGTTTCCACTTGTCTCTGACCTGCCATATCTGACCGGAGAGCAGCTTTTAATATTTCACCAAGGCTATGATAATGACTAACCTGCTCTACTTTCAGTCTGCTTTATGGCCTCATTTGTGAGCATTCACAGAAGATTAGCATGCACACGAGCCATTGTAGGTTCATTAAACTCTGATCACAGTCTCCAGTTGCGGGTCATTACATTATGCTGCTGAAGATCTTGGTCATTTCCATGGCTTACCTGTCTATCCTTGTGCTGCATCTGCATGTGCCTGTTGCCAAGGCAGGTGCAGCAGGTTTACAGTGGGCTAGTGCCAGGTTATAATAACCACCCTCTTCCTGTTGCCAAAGCTTAGGTGTGGCCATCTGTGGTTTCACTGTTGCCTTAGAGATGTTCCTGGTTTTGGTTTATTTCCACAAAACCCATGTCTCTATATCTCTTTCCAACCCTTGTTCCTGCCCCAACCCTCTGTCTCTCCTTGTGTCTCTTCTCCTTCCCCCACTGTCCTGACAAGCAGCCCGGAGCTATGGCCGCAGACGAGGTAATGTGTGGCATTTTCTCTGGGGTTCACCTTGCCATGCTGGCCGTGTTTCTCCAAGGCTAAGGGGGGTGTTAGTGTGGTGTCGCTATATGCTTGTCATCTGTGCTGTGATTGAATGAAATTATATTAATTTTGACACATTGTTGTTCACACTGTACATTTAATGAGACTGGGGAAAGGGTCCACCAAATCTGCCTTTATGAATCTTGTTTTGCTTGATGCTTAGAAAAACAAAAATCTACCAACTTTCTCTTCCCTCTATTCTGAGTCAGTATTCTGCTTGTAATGTTTATAATATGAACACTAGTGCTAACTGGGCTTGCTGTATTGTACTAGAAAAGTGACAGCAGTTATAAAAATTTTAAAAAGCGCATGATTTGTTTGTACTCTTTTTCTTGAGAGTAAATGGCAGCGTGATACTGCCACCAAATCAAACTCTAAAACTTCAAATGTTGTAGCCTTTGGTTGGAATGCTTCCAATAATGAATTTTGGGGATTTTATGGAGAAGCATGCTGACTCAGATGGTAAATGGTCATATTCTTGTATAGTGGTTTTCTACGCTTTACAGCACACTCAAAGCGCTTTCACCCTACTTGGCCATTCACGCATTCACACACCGGTGTTATCACCGGGAGCAACTGGGGGTTCTGTGTCTTGCTCAAAGACACTTCGACATGTTGACTGAACAAGCCAGGAATCGAACCGCTAATCCTCCGGTTAGGAAACGACCCCAGATGTGATTCATTGTCTGGATGGCAAACATTGGTGCTTCCAACATGGTTCAGCTTTGATATGTTGTGCTTTTTAACTTGTTGCCTTCCTTCTTGCTGAAGAAAGGCTGCTGTGCAGCATTTTTAAGACCACTAGGATAATATGTTTTAGGTATAATGTGGTGGATCTAGTGCAGTGAATTATGTCAGAATCAAATTGCATCCAATAAAAAAACGTTCATAAGGTTCAGACAGGATCACAGTAGCAGACAGAAAGTGTGTTGTTTTTTTATGTAAAAATGTATTTGCCTACCTCATTTATAAAAAAAAGTCAAATATCATACATGCTAATAAAGAGGCAAATGTACTGCTATAAGACATATATATTCTATTTAGAAAAGCAACACTACAGTGAGAAACTGAGTATTTCTGCTCAGTAGTGTCTGATCAACAGTCCGTCCACTGTCATTATGTCCTGCAGTTCAGCATGTTGTCTAAAGATCAGGAAGCCAACATTATGATGCTGTGGTTAAAATTAGATAATGTGTACTAAAAGTACATGGACACCTGGATATACATTACATGTGGCTGTTGAACATCTTATTCCAAAGCCATGGGCATTATGTGCAACTTTGACAGGATCCAGACTTTCCAAAAGGTTTTGGTACTACCTGTGGGAAAAGATATTTTCAATTTTGAAAAATACATTGTGGTTGTGGCCTTTAAGACACCATACCAAATGAAGATGTAATCATTTAGTGTACTGCTCTATGAAAGTGTGAGATTTTTTTGATTCACCTGGCCAGTGTGGTAGAAGGCTTTGTGGAGCACTGTTACAAAATTAGTCAGAATGGATGTATTATGAGGTTTAAGAAAGGCAGACATTCATCTTTCAGTAGTAATCTCAATATCCAAAGTGATTCTGCTACTCTAATTGTTTACAATTGTGATTAATTCACTCTATCTCTTACACCTTCCCTCCCCTTTTACTTCACACTCTTGTGTCTCTCTGTCTTCCCCAATATCCCTGTCTGTCTCCTTGGTATCTGCTCTTTTTTTCCCTCCCCTCCCAGGCCGTTCCTGTCTTTTTCCCTTTGAAGATGGTTTCCTCGACGACGGCCATGGTGACCCCTCCTTGACCCCAGGCCTGAACTCACCAACCCGCTGTCAGAATGGAGAGAGGATGGAGCGCTACTCCAGGAAGGTCTTTGTTGGAGGCCTCCCTCCTGACATAGATGAAGGTAAATTAAAGATTTATCAGAGAAAGCTCCCAATACAATCTTTGTTTTGGCTGCCTGCCATTCACAGTTTCACTGAAGGGCACCTTGACACTTGTTGTTGAGGGTAAAAAATGCACACAGTATTTAGCCACTGTAAATTTTATTGTGTGCAGTTTTATTTTTAAACCAATTACTCTTAACCAAAGAGCAGATTTTTCAGACTTAAAGAAATAGTTTGACATTATGGGCAGTGCTCATATTTGCTTTCTTACAGAGAGTTAGTAAGAGGATTTGTGGGCATCAGATGAAGCTTACTGCCAGCAGCCTATTAGCTTAGCACAGCACAGATGGGAAATAAGAGGAAACATCCCCAACCAAGAAATAGTCTGGCACACCATTCCCCCATAAAGCCACAATGTGTGTGTGCGTTTTTTTTTTGTTTTTTTTTTTACATTTGTGCAGAATAAAACAAGATGTAGTTTTAGTTTTAACTGTTGTCGTTTTCATTTGGTGTGCTAATGGAGATATTAACTTTATCCAGAATTTAACCACTGTAATCTTCTGTTAAATAAAGCTTTTGGTTTTTGATGTACAGTTTGAAACTTTCACTCCAATGAGTCCTAACCAGTAACCAGGTTTTTGGTAACTGATCAAAGTATGTCATGGTCATTTGTTGACCAGACTAGAGTCAAAGTGTCACAGTAATCTGTTTTTACAGAAATGTCACTATACCCAAAAATATATTTAAAAAATGAGTCTGTAGGTTTTTAAGTCACTCGTAATGCTTTAGTGTAATGCCTCTGACCAGTTATGTCCTGTAATTGTTGCCACAAAGCCTTTCACGTTCATATGGAATGGTTATTTTTATATGTGTCTACACAGAAGCACGTGCACTACTGAGCCATTAGCTAATTGAAAAAATTGATGATTTTCTACAGCATGGATCAGCCTAGTGAAGACTGGATGTACCCAGCCTGAGTTCCTGTGTAATGCAGAGTCTACTACTGCAGCAAGAGCATGGCAGAAAATAGAAACTCTGCCTGTCTCAGCTTTGAGTTTGGCTCTGCACATGCATATTGTATGAGCCATAATGGATGTTATCTTATTACTTGATTGAATCTGTTTTTTGTTCTTCTTCCCTATCTTAATTTTTACAGATGAAATTACCAACAGTTTCCGTCGCTATGGGCATCTGGTGGTAGACTGGCCCCACAAAGCTGAGAGCAAATCTTACTTCCCACCTAAAGGTAACAACAGTTTCTCAGAGCATAATCTGTGTTTTCCCATCAGACATCAAAGTCTACACCAATAAATATCACCTCAGACCATGTTAGAGTTTTGTAAAGAATCATATTACCCAGAGTTCATGGCTCATGCTGGGCAAGCATGTAGGTGTTCGTTTATCTGAGCGGCCCCCTGTAGTTGTCTCACAGAAAGACACATACAATGTATATAATGGCTCCATAACTGGCCACTAATAGTTTTGACCCAAGAACTGTTTGCTAGAGTGAATACCTGAAGAGTGTAAATGTTTATTTTTTTTGTGCAATCATAGTAACACCGTCCTCTTTCAAGCCCCTACATCATTCTGGCCTGGGAGCTGCTGTGTGTCATATTAGGGAAGCTATGAAAGACACTGTGGAAAGAACTGACATTCCATAGACAGATGGTAATACATTGCATCTGGAAGACCTGCAAAATTCTCTGCAAGTTTCTCCCCAACTCTCATTTTTCAGCATCTCTCTCTTTTTTTTTTTTTTAGTTTTAGTGGATTTTTATTTTGAATAGACTTGGCTTTGCTGATATCCAAAGCCAGGACTAAAAGTGCAGCATCCTTTTAGGGGAATGGATGAGTTTAGGGCAGATGGAAAATGCCGCCATGTAAGGGGAGGAGATATATGAGACTTGAGATATGCGTAAAATTCATCTCTCTTTCTCATTTAAAAGCTTCCACTCCAAAACTCCAAGGGAAATGTCTGAAACATCAAGTTTATATCACTCTTAAGTGGCAAGGAGCTTGGACTTATGCCTGGTGAGAGAGTTCTTTGCACTAATAGTTTCAGGGTTGAGGGCAAGCGCACATCTACGTGTCTGTATGTGTGTGTGTCCTACTGTCATGTGGACCATGTATCAGTAGATTTACAAATCACAATCAAGAGGTCAGTGGACTCTCTTCATGTGAAACATTGTTCCAAGCTTGACCAAACGGAATATAATTGTCACTTTCCATGCTCATTCATGTTAAACCTCAATATGTGTTTAGACCGTTATGAAAGTATTTTGGTTTAGGGATGACTCATGCTGTGGCTCAGTCTTACTTTAGCAACAGGGTAAGACTCAACTGATGCTTGGAGAGAACTCGTTGTCTAGAGGGGAAGTAGGAACTAGCTGTACTGTTTGCTCTTTTGTTCTCGCTACTCAAATTTTTAAATGTTTCCATCAATTTTTTTTAATCCAGTTGAGCTTTTTAAATAAGTCAGAGGGATGAAAATCTACAATTTTGCATTGTAGATTGAGACATAAAAGTCAGCAGACAAGTGTCAGTTTCTGAGAATGAAAAGATAAGCTTGAATGAAAAGTGAATAAAGAGGTACCACCAGCAGCTGTTAGCTTAGCTTAGCATAGAGTAACTGAGAACCCATGTTGTTCAAGCTGTTGCTCATGCGGACAAACCTTTTTTGTTTATTTCTCTTTTTCATTTTATAGCTTAATATACGTAAGTCAGGCCTATGACTTTGGATCTTTAAAAACACCCATATAACTGAAGTTAACACAGGATGTTGCACTGCTTTCATTGTGAAACTGAGTGTAGCATATGTTAATGGTTGTCTGTCTTGCTTTCTCGGCCAGTTGCATCAGGGTCAGTTAAAGCAGTAGCTTTGCACCTGTCTCTGATATTTTCAGTGCTCCTGCTCCCCATCCTCTCCCTTGCATTTTGAATTGTGTTTGTACAACAGTTATTCATGCTCTCCTTTTCTTCCTACCTTTTCTCACTTCCTCCCTTTTTCCATGTCTCACTCCTCTGCCCCTCCTCCTGTTTTCTCTTGCTCCATGTCTCTCTCTCTCTCTTTCTCTCTCTTTCTCTCCTGCCCTGGGTCATGCAACATGTTATTCTCCTTCTACAGGCCTCATGAGTTGCTGCTGTGTGTGTGTGTGTGTGTGGTGTGTGTGTGTGTGTGCGTGCATCCGCCAAACTGCCGTTTTTTTTTTTCCTGAGGCGGAACTGTCAGAGCTAAACCACGTCATTTTTTTTCCTAGTGACATATCCTCTTTTTGTCACCCAAAAAGACAGGGGCCTTATGTTGGTGATGATAAAGCACATGGAGAAAGATTGTGATGCACAAAATCCTCTTTATGTCAAGTCGAATTATGTATTTCTTGGCCATGGTCCAGAGAGGAGTTGGATCTGTGTAGACCAATTACAAAAAGACAGATTAGTCTGTCACCTAGAACAGTTGACTGCAGTTAGTTTTAGATTTTGGTTATTTTGTTTTTCTCATGATGGTACGGCTTGATATTAGAGATAACAAACCCACTGAGGATATTAGCCTGTTACTACAGGGCCCATAATAAAAACACCTAAGAACCTTTAATTAGTAAAAAACCTCTGTGATTACTTAATCATACTAGATGCATACATTCACTTAACATTTTGCAAAAGGGACATGTGGATGGTAATGATGTCCATGATGCATCACATATGGGTTGTGTTCCAGTCCTCATTATTCTTCTTTCTCTCAAGGATTTGTCTGAAGACATCAACATCATGCAAAAAAATAATTCAGTCAGCATACTTTTTTATTTTAACACTTTTTGACTACATCTCTACACAGTAGATTTTGTGCAGCTTTTTTTTTTGTTATTGCCACCTACTCTTGTTGAGCTAACTGACCCAACTGATAAAGCTGATGTTAGCTTGCCAGTACTGTAGTAATGTTTTTGGTTCCAGTTTCACATTTGTTCACTGAGCCATAGTTGACTGGTTTTGCTGAGTCAGGCTTTTGTAGCAGCTCCACTCAGGAATGTTAAAAGTAAACACAACAGCCATGCATTCCTCTTTGCCATATTTGCACATGCATTTGCCCGGATAACTATATCTGAATGAGTGAGTGTGTGAGTTTGAGGGTGCTTCTGAGAGAGAGAGACATGGCTTTTGTAGTAGTCTCCAGAGACACTACAAAGGAAGTGAGTGGAAGTGTGGCCCGGTAGAAAGAAGTCTCAGAGTGTTTATTGTGTGCACTTGAGCAAACTCCCTATCCCTCTTGCTCCTCTCACACAGCAGCTCACATTCCCCTGACTCATGGGTGCTACAGGTGGTGCCACTAACATGATCGGAGCAATACGAGCACACCAATCATTCACAACCCATTTGGAGCTGAGTGACATCTGCTGCTTTTTGAATACTTTGCAAAAATATTTGCCCCTAGCTGTCAAAAAGTGGGTTTAGACTCTCAACTCTCAGTATGTGGTGTTCATTTTGTTCAGCCTTTAAATCTGATCCCTGTAGCATTTTGTGATGGATGTACCCTATTGAAGTGGTTCTCCATTCTTTCCAAAACAGCTTAATAGCTCTGACATTGGATAAGGTCTCTGCTCCAATAATTCAGTAGTACAGAGTGACTGTCTGAATTGCTTTGTTGCTGCCTTGCAAAGGCATCATCAGACTCTCTCTACCTGACTCACCTCTCAGGGAAGAGCTGCTGTGTGTTCAGCTGATCAATTTTGCATGGTTCCTTTAGCAGTTGAGCACTCTTAGCCATTTAATAAGAGGCAGTGCAGGTAGCAAGGTGCTGGGTGTGGAGCAATATATGGAAACGTGGGGACAAACATGTCAAACTGTGAATAATAAAGAACAAAGTATGGGACTTACTCATGGAATTGTGACTTGCACAGTGTGGACAATGGTAAAAAAAAAAAAAATACCAGTGTTTAACACATCATGCTCACAAGGTTATGGATGTAGTTTGTGTTTTTTCTAAAATCCTTATTTTTACCTCCAGGCTATGCCTTCCTACTCTTCCAGGAAGAGAGCTCAGTTCAGGCCTTGATCGATGCCTGCATTGAAGAGGACGGCAAGCTCTACCTGTGTGTGTCCAGTCCCACCATCAAAGACAAACCGGTAAGTGGCAGACATTCATCTAGTAAAATAAAATGTAAGTAGATTTACTGTATTGGTATTGTTGTGCCATGTCCACCTTTTCCAAAAGTTTTTTTTTTTTGCTTCAGTTAGTTAGAACCCAGTCTTGTAATGTAATGAATGAATATTTGGTCATAAACCAAAGTACTGGACAAATGAAACTTTGACCTGAAGATGCTCTAGACCAGCCATTCTCAACCAGTGGGCCATGGCCCGCTAGTGGTCCTCAGAGCACCATCTGGTGGACCACAGAGTAGCACTGCAAAGGGTTAGATTAAAATAATAATTTATTATTTTGTGTTTACTATACAAAGCTAGATATTTACTAAATATGCTCATGAATTCACATAAATTAAAAAAGTCTAATTAAAATGCATATTTTCAATTGCCAGTTACATTTGAATATCACAACATCACTCACAACACATCATCAGGAAGTGACAAACATGTTTTACCACCATTAGCTGGCTAGCCAGCCAATTTTTCCTTGGATGCAGTGACACAAAATGGATCGGTTGTATGTGTGAGACAACCCTGTGCCAGTAAAAGTTCCAAGGAAATATGACCCTGAATGCAATAAATACATATACTGAATACATTTATTTAATTATTTTCATTTATTTGACAAGATGGTCCTCAGAAGTTTTTTTTTTAAGACTCAAAAGTGGGCCTCAGTTTACAAAACATTGAGACCCCCTGCTCTAAATGAAAGGTCAGGGGATCCCCAATGTGATTAAAATTTACCCTCTGGGGACAAAGAATACCAAATTTCATGCTAACCTATCCAAAACGTGTTGAGATCTTTCAGTAATAAAATATCATCCTCATGGTGGCAGTGTGAGAAAAGGGATTAACTAAAATACATTTTCTGGGAACCATGAATGTACCATGTACAACATTTGACTAGTTATTGAGATACATCAGTCTGGACCAAAGTGTTGGACCAACCAAGCATTACTGTCTAAAGAACCCTGCTGCTGCTGTGGTTAAACATGTACAGGAACTGTAGCACACATTCTTCTAAATTACTGCAATTTTACCTTTTTTCATACACAGGTCCAGATCCGTCCCTGGAACCTGAGCGATAGTGACTTTGTCATGGATGGCTCTCAGCCTCTGGACCCCCGCAAGACCATCTTTGTAGGAGGGGTGCCACGGCCCCTACGTGCAGGTAAGGGGCTAATATGAATGGAACTTTTTTTTTTTTTTTTTTGCAATCCCCCAAAAGCTTTTGAATTGGCTTCCTAATGTTATCTGGCATGGGGGCTAGAGGTTGGAGGCCACAGTGAAAAGTTCCCACTGTGAGAAATCCTTGGGTTTCTAGGAATTGGGCCAAGTGGTCATCATGTTAATAATTAATGGTTTAATGCACGTGTCAAACTCGAGGCCCGCGGGCCACATCTGGCCCGGCGTACAATTACATCCGGCCCGCGAGATCATTTTATATATATTTTTGTAATGGTCCAGCGATATGAAGTGCCGATAACACACAAACTACAAATCCCATAATGCAGCGCAACAGCTGCCTTACCAAATGATAGGCTACTTGCGATCATTCCCGCGTCAATTACGTCAGATCAATCAAGCATCTGTTGATGTATACAACCCTAATTTCAAGTCAAAGCTAGCCCCTAACAATGGCCAAGAGAAAAGTTGGTTCTGAAAATAGAGCCTTTCTAAACCGGTGGGAGGCTGAGTATATGTTTACTGACATTGTCGGTAAACCTGTGTCTTATTTGTGGAGCTAATGTGGCTGTAATTAAGGAATATAACCTAAGACGGCAGTACGAGACAAAACATCAGGACACGCTGAAAAACGTGAATGCAGAGCAGAAGCTACAGAAGGTAGAGAAGTTGAAGAGGAATCTGACGTCACAGCTGACGTTTTCACCAAAGCGAAATCACACGCCTGGACATTTACCAAGGGAGGGTTTCTGAAGAACTGCATGATGAAAGTTTGCGACGTCTTGTGTCCAGACAAAAAGCAGGTGTTTGTAAATGTAAGCCTTAAAAGAAATACGGCTGCTAATTTTAAGTTCAAGTTGATTTATTTTGGAATAATATTGTATCCTGTCTCTTTCGATTCATATTTATGTTCAAAAACATTTAGTTTTAGTCTGTTCAATAAATGTTTATCCTGTTCGGCCCGCGGCCTAAAGTGTGCTTTGAGTTTTGGCCCCCTGTGCAATTGAGTTTGACACCTCTAGTTTAATGGAAGGCTCAGTCTTTTTGTTCTTGGGACAAACATCACTGGCTTCTCCATAACATGACCCTTACTAATCATATCTGTAATTAGAGACTGCTGCTCTGATAAATAGTAGAGTAGGGTTCGTTTTTATATCAGGTAATAACGGCAGCATTCATAGAAGTTAAACCTTTATTTCTTTTTTTTATAAGGAGCTTTTGATTTGAGAACAAAAACAAAGGCAAAATGCTCATCTTTTCTTCTCTTCAGTGGAGCTGGCTATGATCATGGACCGGCTGTATGGAGGTGTTTGCTACGCTGGCATCGACACCGACCCGGAGCTCAAATATCCAAAGGGAGCTGGTCGTGTGGCTTTCTCCAATCAGCAGAGCTATATTGCTGCCATCAGCGCTCGCTTCGTTCAGCTGCAGCACAACGACATCGACAAAAGGGTGAGCGAGTTCAAACATTTCATTCACAATATCCTTCCTCTGAAAGAAACCTGAGTTCCCACCACAACTGAGGTTTTCAGTCATTCCTGTGGCACATGCAGCAGAGCTGAACTCAGCTTCAGCCCTTTCACATCTATCAGAGCTTTCATTATAGGCAGGTTTTCTGCCAACTTCCTAGAACAGCCTACAATAACGGAAGGCAAGGCCTAGCCATGTAATCGCTATGGCCTTTGGCTGGCGGAGTCCTGACAGATGTTTCAGGTTGCAGACACATGGGGTTGGTTTAATTATAGTAGTTCCCTATACATATATATCCACTCAGGCACTGCGGCAGCATAATTATTTTAAGTCCAGCAGCCAAATGGAGTGGGACAGATTGTAATCAAGAGAGACTGGTTGTCAGCCAGGAAGCTGAGCCTCTGCAAGGTGGGGCAGTCCACCTCACCTCAGCTATCACCATCTTCACTGGGTGTCTTTATTATGACTGTAACTGGGGGGAAAACAAAATAACACATGAAAGAATCACAGGGTGTCAATAAAGACATTCCTTTAAAAATCAGATACAACAAAAACATTTCTTCTTTCAGTTTAATAACGAGTGAGGATCTTTCATTTAAATCTATTATTTATTTATTTTTTTCAGGAATCGAGATCTTTGTGTGAGTGGTGAGCGACAAAAATGAATTACAGAGCCATAATTAGCACTTCAACAGTCTATATCCATTAGAGAAGAAGAGCACATTCTTGGAACATTGTTGTTGTTGCCACTTTGCTTTCTAATATACTCTTCTCTTGCCTTCAGCATCCAAATATTCCATTAACCATAAGTGGTTCTTGATGATAGTACATAGAAGCTTATTACCCCCTGGTCAGCTTCATGTACACTGAGCTTATATTGGTATTTAATAGTATGGCAGCATTGCCATTTCTGCTCAGCTTTCTTGGCATTTATCATGCGTGAGGTTGTCACTCACTGTGGATTTCGCAGTGCAGTTTAGCTGAAAGGGACAGTCTCCTACCGGTGAAGGGTTTGATAACTTTTCATTTTGTGGCCACGCTTTAACAAGGTTAGTATTCAGCCCTGCCTACTCATGCACTGAGGCGTCTCCATGGTGACTGAGCTCTCATTTCTTCTCTGCTGGTTTTTAGTGGTCAAGCTCATTTCACTGGTGGACGGGTGGGTACCTGTCTCAATCTAGCCCTTGTTTTATTTTAGAAAATTGCACAGAAATTGCCTGGCATGATGTCTGTGGATAATGGCTTGAAGGAGCCAGGGAACACACCCGGATCAACATAGCTGTTGCTGTAGCACATTTATGTACTGTTTGTGTTGGCCTTGCAGTGGAATAAATACTAAAGGAATAAATACTTGGATTTTGTTTTGATCCCTGGTGGATGATCTTTAATTAAATGCTACCTCTTGTTCTCCTTTCCAGGTAGAGGTGAAGCCATATGTCCTTGATGACCAGATGTGTGATGAGTGCCAGGGGGCACGCTGTGGGGGGAAGTTCGCCCCCTTCTTCTGTGCCAACGTCACATGCCTACAGTACTACTGTGAGTACTGCTGGGCCAGTATTCACTCACGAGCCGGCCGAGAGTTTCACAAGCCCCTGGTGAAGGAGGGGGGTGACCGCCCTCGACATGTCTCCTTCCGATGGAGCTGAGGTGGGGGGGCGGTCACAAGTCAGCCCTGTCCCGGTGAACCCACACTTGGTCCCTGCTACCCTTTATACCAGGAAGGAGTTGCACCGTTCCCCCCCCCGAAAAAAGCAAAAAGAATACCATCAAAACATGGGATTTTCTTCATGTCACATGGCTCTGAAATCATTTTCCAGTGTTCCCCTCTGACAAAACATTGTGGGGAAATGAAATGCAAAAGTCTATCAGCTTAGAATTTGCACTCTGGCACAAAATCTCACTAAAGACACAGGATGGTATGTTAGACATCTAGCTACTTTGAGTTCCCTGTTGTGTTGACTGGGCAGTATGGTGCATCCTGTTGGGCTCCCCCTTTACTGAGACAGAGGTGGGACCATGCAAATATATGAAAAAGTATATATTTTTTGTTTTGTACCTATCTATAGATGTATAGATAATTTAAATTTTATGTAAAAGGAGCATGCACTTACTTTCAAAAGCTGTAAAAACAACATCACCCCCAGTAAAAAAAAAAAAAAAAAATGTAAAAAGTAATTAATTACCAAAGGGAAATGAAATTAATGCATAGAGAATAAGAATAATAGGTGGCGTAAGATGTAGCAAGATTTACCAACTATCCCGCAGTGTGGGCCCATATCAGCCCACAGTAAAAATAACATGGATATATTTGCTCAAGTTTGACTCTGAAATTATTAATACCTCATACAGTATGCGCAATCAGATTAGTCTGCGCTCAGTTTCTAGGTCTTTATTTTTATAACCTTATGTTTTAGTGTTATGTAAATGTCATGCTGCAATAGCTTTGCTGCTAAATCCATGGTATAAACAGATACCATAAGTACTTTATTCAGGCTAGGGTGTAAAATAAGAAATACCAGATCTGGAGAAGCACCTGGTGTTTCAGAATGAGGAGCTGTCACTGGGGGACGGGTGCCCCCAGATGGCTACCTTTGTGGGGTTCAGGGTGGCTCGCCCCAAACTGCATGTTTATTTCAATCAGGTTGATGCATGCAATACACTTTCCAATATCATGTCTACTATTCGATTTTGCCCACTTTTGCACAACAAACTATAGACGTAGCCTATGTTCGACTCGCACGAAACTAGACAGAAACAGGGAAGATTGGTCAAAGGAATCATGGCGGCTTTGCATCGCTGCTCAGGCTGACAGGCCATGCCACAGGGCGGCCAGAGCACATGGGTTCCTGCACTAACAGCAGTGAACGCAGCTGACAATGGGGAAATAAACAACCTGAATAATCACAAATCAAATTAAATGTAGGATTACCATTTAAACTTGTCTGAGATAGGTGAAGTACCTTTTGCAGTGATTGTTGATATAATTGTGCAATTTTTTTTTATACCGTATGTAGTTAGGCTTGAGTATGCCTAGAACTGTGATTCGCTTAAACTGTCGTTAATGTCTGACATAGAAGTCCTGTGAAACTTTTTAACTAGTGTATGCACATGTATATATGTTCTATTGTACACACACACACACACACACACACACACACACATTTGCACCAGTATACACAGAAGCCTCTGGACACAAACAACACCGAGTCTGATCAGAGAAGGCGCCACAATGCGAGCTTAAAATGAGAACTGTGGTCTCGTTGTTTTTTTTTTTTTTTTCTTTTCAACTTGTTCTACCATTGACAAAAGTGCACGTGTACATCACCTAATGTAACCAAAGAGCTCACGTGTCGACTTTTTAACACATAGGCTAACACATAGAGCGAACATCCCCACCCCCGGAGGAGGCAGCGCTGCTCCTACATCCTCCTGCTGAGGAGCTGAAGGTGCAGGCCAGTTAGATGGGGGAGGAATAAAATCTCACACTGAAGCTACTAGAGGCTTGAGGCTGATAAAGTGAAATCTGCACATGCTCTCACTACATGGGAGGGTTTGGGGGAATCGAAGAGTGCCAGAATGTGCATATTTTATCCAGAGTTTTTTTTTCCTGCAAAGCTTGAAGTAATGAACCTGCTAAAAATGGTGGACATATATTTTTTGTCTTTATCAAGAGTTTGGTGCACAGCTCAGACAGGGCTGGATAGGTTACAAATTCAATGTATAGAAACTTGAGAACTGGCTGCTGAAGACAGGGATGGCTCTGATTTTGGGGTGGGGGGCACAAGTTACACTGGTTTTAGCAATTTGTGGACAATCCGAATGGGATCCTACATCATTGCAAGTTAATGTGTGTCGTCCTTTTTTAAATTTTTATTTTTCCCCTTTTTTCCGTGAGTCGTGATTGTCTTCTGCTGGCACCCCATGGTCCCTCTGCTTCTCGTTTTAGTAGCAAACCTTTTTTTTTTTTTTTTTTTTTTTTTTTTTTGCTTTAGGATAGATGTTTTTGTTTGTTTCTTGTCCAAGAAAAACAAGTTGAAACTAAACAGATAATCTTCTTACTGATAGGAAAAAATGTCAAATTAAAAAGCTTACCATGAATAATAATACGAATCCCAATGAAAGTGAATTCTGGGTGTTTTTGTGACATTTCTTTCCCCGCCCAGATAGGTTTTCTATGTTTATTCCTTCTCTATGACAGATATTTGTTATGCACTACTCTTTGTATTTGAACGATTTTCGACAGTCAGCAGTTCTTTCTGTTAAGACAAAAAACAAGATGATAAAGTGTGCTTTCTGACTGACAAGATCTTTTGCAATACCTCAATTTTAAAATATATTAGGAGAGAAACTGATATTTTGTAAGTCTATTCAGATGTAAAAATATATTAATTTAATTCTTCAAGAGAAATTATTTAACAGATGGTTGATTTTTTTTTCTCTCTGATGCTTATTTGCTTTTATTTTAAGAATTTATTATTTTTTTTCTTTTTTGGGGATAAAGACAACAACTGAAGGATCTAGAGCTTTATAACTAATATAATGATGTAGTTAGTGTGATTGGTCTACTTTATTACAATGGATGTTAGAGTGGATGAGTGTCCCACTGGTCAGATTAGCTGCAACAGCAGAAAAGAGATCTTAAAGAAAAAAAAACGATCTCAGTAAACTGAGCATATTTTCCACACTTTTGTATATTTATAATCAATTATTTGCTATGCTGGCCAGAGTTGTGAAAGACATCTTCTGTTCATTATTTTTTAAGAGAAGTTTTTTATGTTTCCTAAACGTTATGTGCTCCCTTTTTGGTTTTGTTAAAAAAAAAAAAAAAAAAAAAAAAAAAAGTGATGCTGATTTGTTAGCCTGACATCATTGAGAGAAAAATAAGACTTGTGAGAGTCACTGAAGAGCTGGAGGTAGAGAAAAGAATGTTTTTTTTTTTTTTTTTAAACATCCATTAAACAGCCATAGCAAAAAAAAAACGAACGGCCCTTAAGAGGGGGTTTTCTTTTTGCACTTTAGACGGTGGCCTTCTATTCACACAAAACTTGAATTAGTCCCATTTTTTTTAAGGCTAAGAACCTTGATTCTTTGTTGTAATGTGCAATACCATTTGTACTGTTTGTAGAAAAGACAAAAACAAGAAAAAGAGGCATAAATCTTTATTGCAAAATTATTTTCATTGCAAGCATTGTGATTCACTAAAATCATTTTCTACTGTGTATTTACCTACTCTACCTGCTAGTACCTTCCAGTAGTAATGTAGCCTTTGTACTGAAAAATTTTCATTATTTTTAGAAAGTTTTGCTAAAACAAAAAGAATTTAAACATATTTACATATTTTCATTTTTATTTCATATTTTTTCTTTACAGACCTTATTTCTCAACCATTAATTGTTATTTCTGGGGGAGACTTTCATATCTGGTCAATGTCATTAATATTATTTTGTATTTTTACTTGGAATAAATTAATTTTTTGATGCTAATTCTATAAAAGTTTATTTTTTTTCATTTAACATCTGTCATTTTTTTGAAGTTGGGGAAATAACTATTGTTACTAAAGTGTCAATTCTTGAAATGCTAAGCTTTATGTGTTAACTCGCTGATCTTGCTTACATTAGTGTGAAAACGATTTATGGAGAGAAACGATAACTACTCACAAACAACAGATTGGTGGTTGGTGATGTTTAAATGATTCACAGTGTAAATAAATGGGCAATAAAATGAAAATGGCAGAATGGAGCATACATGCTGTATGTTTTGATGTAATTGTAGAAGATGAACAACGCCACCGACTATTTCCATTGCTTCTGATACTGTCACAACTAGCTACAAAGCTCAACATCACTTTGTGCAGTGGAGAGGAACACACATTAACATCACATATGAAATATTCATGAATTACTCCTAAATAAAGTCACGTCACATGTCCTCTTCTTCTTTGGTTCAGTCCCTGCAGAGTGCACTAGGGTGATTGTATAAGTGTAATTGTTGAGATGCACTGTGTAATATTCAGTTTGGGAAGAACATGTATGAACTGAAATATCTCAATTATTCATTGGAGGCAATGTTCTCAAGTGCTTTTTTTTTTTACTTCTCCAACTTTGTTTTATTTGTCTCCTTATCTTCTGTTTTAAAAGAATAGTTTCACATTCAGTTTTGACATTTCCGCAAGTACATTTATTCACCTTTATTTCAAGAGTCAAACACCACCACCACTGTCATCGTGGTTGAAGATATTAGCTTAGCCCAGCTTTAGCATCCCCCCAAATTGCCTAGTAATTAATCATCTGCAAAACTACAGCTTGTAGTTTTTGCACATGATTTTTGAACTGAGTAAATCTACAAGAAATGACATTTTAGTGAGCTTTAAAGGTGCGTGTAGGTGAATTTCTAGACAGTCTGGAGCTAGCTGCAATATTTCCTCCTGCCTTCAGTCTTTACACTAGGCTAAGATAAGTGGCTGCTGGCTGTGGCTTCATATCTGACACAAGAGTTAGAGAAGGCTGATACCCCAGTCATCTGTTTGTTCCGCACAAAGTTACAGCTAGTTAGTTTAGCAAAGGACTGGAACGCATGGAGAAAGTGCTGGCCTGGCTGGATCTCACAATGTTTCAGTGTTGGGGTTATAAGCTCGACCATTTATTAGCTGGGAGCAGACACTTCCTGAAGTTCTGTCCAAGAATACGTCCTACATCTAATCTAAAGCTTCAATTTTACCCTGCAGATGGGGGATTGCTATCA